CTCTCTTTCTCTCTCTCGTCTCTCTCTCTCTCTCTCTCTCTCTCTCATTCCTCTCCCTCTCTTCCAATCTCTCTCTTTTGTTTGCGAGTTATAATTATTCCAACTCATTGTTTTTGACTGCCACGACAGAGAAGAAAACAGATGAGCCATATTAATCCCTGGCAGTGTATGAAGATTTATGTGTGAGCGAAAACATCTGGCACTCATCACCACTTAGTGAAAGCGGCGGTAGGCAGTGAAGAATTGAGAACATGAAGGAAAAGAAACAGAAGGAGGAGAAGAATGAGGAAGGATAGAGGAGGATAGAAGAAAATGGAAGAATGATTATAGTAATCATAAAAATGGTGGATAATGATAATGATGATCATCATCATGATGATGGTGATGGTGATGATGATGATGGTGATGGTGATAATGATGATGGTGATGATGATGATGATGATGATGATGATGATGATGATGGTGATGATGAAGAGGATGATGGTGATGATGATGATGATGATGATGGTGATGATGATGATGGTGATGATAATGATGATGAATGATGATGATGATGATGATGATTGATGATGATGATGATGATAATAATATGATGATGATGATGGTAAGATATAATAAAAGGTCAAGATGCTGGTAACAATGAGGAAGGAGAAGAAAGATGATATAAAATAAGGAACTGATGTTGCAGATGATGGATGATAAGAAGAACCAAAGGAAGAAATGGAAATCAACGGAGGAGAAAAGGAGAGAAATAACATGGAAGAAATAAGAAGTAGAAAAAGTAGGAGGAAGAGGAGGAGGAGGATATGAAGATAGTGAATGTAAAATAATTGCAGTAGCCATAAAAAAAATATATATATGCCTTATGAAAAGCTATTTTCTTTCTCATAAGATGCACTCTATATGATTGCATTTTATGTTGTTGCAAAGATTAAAGCTGTGAGAGTACTTCAGAACCGGTTGAAATATCTACAGCGTATGTAATATAGTACTAATGAGAACGAAATTACCTTCGTCTTTTCGATACACCAATTTCGCTACAATAGTATAACGATAAATTATTGTTGATAAATTACCTCTCTGTACATCATTATTCCCGTCATCATTTTTCATTGCCATTTGCTGCTTCTACTTCATAACATTTCTGGAGTTTTTTTTTCTGTCTCAAGTTCTGTCGTCGTAGCAACAGCACTTTTCGGTACATCACCCCGTGCTACGTTACCTCTCGCTTCACCACCTTACACTATATCATCTTTTTGCTTCGTCGTCAACCGCCTTCGTGTTATTTATCCCTTTATGATCACTTACGAGCACGGACTTTGAAGTTCTTCTGTAAACGGCTCTAAAAAAAAAAAAAAAAAAAAAAAAAAAAAAAAAAAAGTCCCTGATTTTGACGAAAAAGGATACTGCTGCTAAAAAAAAAAAAAAATCAGCTGACTCTGTGTACCCCTACCCCCCCTCCACCCCTCCCCCCTCTCCTTCCTAGTTTATGATTCACCCTTTCATCCGCCAAACCTTGACATCATCTCACTACGTTCTGAATCCTTTTCCTCCCCAAACTATAAATTCTTATTCGAAGCGATATAAAAATACTAAACATTCAGAGGCCGAAATCGCCGTGTGTAAACTTTCCATGCATCAAAGGCCCCAGAAATTTATTTGGAGCACTATTTCTGGCCAGAGATTTTGTATTACTGTGTGTCGTCCGAGGAGGAGTTCTAAGGATGACAGGGACCTCAGGAAATCTTGAAGTTTGGGCTCTATTTGCGCTCGAGTGTACGTGGCAAAGCGCTGTTTAAACAAGAATGTGTTTTACAGACATTCGTAAGTAGAATTCCATGTATGGACGAGAAAAGTATATGGATTTTTACAACCTCTCCCTTTCCTTCTGTCCATTTCTCTTTGGCTCCATTCATATCCTTCACTGCCTCTGTCTTTCTCCTTGTATCTGTCTTTCTTTTTCCTTTCTGTTTGCCTTCAACTCTATTTCTGCGATCTATTTGATTTTTTCTTCTATCTCAAATCTCATGTTGTATGTATGCATATATGCGTACACATATACAGGCACACACACCCATACATACATACACACACACACCCATACACACACACACACACACACCCACACACCCACACACACAAACTCACAAACTCACACACACACACACACACACACACATATTTCTACCTCAGTATTTTGTCCAGTTCACTCTAATAAATCTTACACAGTGGAGTGAAACACAATACCCATGATACTGAAGAAAAATTGGATCAAAAGCTGAAATTACTGAAATGCTGAAATTGAAGGTTATGTTGTATTAAAGGATCAGGCAATAAGTTGTCAGTGTTATTTGAGTTCGTACAGAAAAGCCTTGTTACGGATAATTTGACATTGGATGGTGACGATGATAAACGTGATGGTGATGGTGATGATGGTGATAATGATGATGATAATGACCTTGTCCTTATTATCATTTTATCATCTTTACTAACATTATTATTTAATGTATTAGCATCATAGTTATTGTTATTATCATCGTTATCATCCATTAATGTGTGTTATTATTACCATTTTTATCATTAACATCGTCATCACTACTACTACGACTACCATTATCGTTATTATCATTATCATGACCATTATTATTATCATTATTATTATGACCATTATTATTATTATTATTATTATTATCGTTGTTCTTCCTCTTCTTGTTACCATTATTTTTTCATCATTATCATTATGATCATTATATCATTTTCATCATCATCCTCATCATAATTATTATCTTAATGATTATATTTGCATCATTATCGTTATCATTACCGTTATCATTAGTATTTTTTTGTAATTATTGACATCGTTATCATTTCACTATTGTTGTGGATATTTTCATTATTATTATCCTTCTCATTACTACTATTACTATTACTACTTCTACTACTATCAAATTTCATGGATAGTGGTAGTACTAATAATGTTTTGTTTCTTTCAGTTACATTGGGTTCTTTTAATGTCGTTATCTTTTTTATCAATTGCATTGTGATCATAAATATAATGATCACTAATAATGTAACCATTGTAATTACCATCTTCATTAACGTATTCCTTTTTATCACCGAAATTCATTCCATTTCCCATGCTTACTTTCACCCTTTCTAACTCTATAACTGGTCGGTTCGATCGCCATGACCATTACCATTACTTTTAATTCACTCTAATAAATCTTTGAAAAAAAAAGTGTAATGTAATACCAACCCTTTGATGCTGAAGCAAAAAAGGGGGGGGGGGCTCGATCTAGTTCTCTGAAATTACTGAAATTCTGAAATCAAAACTTGGGGAAAAGAGGTTGGCAGTTCAAGGAATTATGATAGGTGTTTTGGATACGATTAAAAGCTGTTATGTGAGTGATTTGATAGTGATGGTGTTGACAAATCCGATAATGATATGAGGATAACGGAAGCAATCATCACAATAATGATAATTATGGTAACAATAATTGTTACTGAATTATCAACGCAGCAGTAAAAGCAATTATTAATAATAGTGCCGCTATTACAACTACTATGATCAATGCTAAAACTGCTATTACGATTACTACTTCTACTACTATTATTGATAAAAAAGAGAATAATAACATTATTTTCATTGTTCATAAAAAAGGGAATTATATTAACATTATAATTATTTTTGGTATTGATAAAGATGTAAATGATAATGATTTTCAAAATCATGACGATTAGTATGATAATCATATTACTAATGATAATAATTATAAAAATAATCATTCAAAAATGTCTTGATTCGGATCACCGCAAGACACACCTGGTAAAAACATGTTTGTAACTTTCTGAGTCATCCTGCCAACCAACTAACCAACAAACAGACTAACCAACACAACCAAAAACATAACCTCCTTGGTGTAAGTAATAGAAATGAAACTAGATGCAGCAATTGCAACGCATAATCCGATCAGCATTGAGGGGAAAGGCGAGAACCGAACCTGTTCCTCAGTAACACATTATCCTGAAGCAACAAAGGCTCTGCGATTTGTGCAATGTTGCGTGTTAATTTGTGTCACACAATTATTTTTTTTTTCTCTCCCTACCCTTTCCCGATCACTTTCGAAGCACGTTCCGAACACCATTTCGAAAATTAGTTAACGAACCGAAATCTCGCCGTTTCGAAGCTTCGCCCATCCCCCCCCCCCCCCGACACAATAGTTTCCGCGTCAGAGCCTCATCCGGTCTTCTACTCCGACGCTGTAATAAGACTGTAAAGTGTAATGGTCATATGTGCACAAGGATCATTACGTATGAAATGGTTTCCCATACGAGGTTTAATGTCATGAAATACAGCTGGATCGCTCTCAAAGCAAAGGCGGAATATTGTAAAGAACAGTATTTCACGCCTCACCTGACTGAATCACTGGCCTGTTGTGCAATAACGTGTTGCAATAACATGCCCGTGATGAGATCAAAGGATGTGTGTGATCAGATATACAAAAGATGAAATAAAAGAGAATTTAGCCGAGTCCGCCCCTCCTGTCGTTTGAAATGTAGATCAAACGTCTATCTTCAGCGTTGCGGAAAATTCGCAGCGTAATGCAATATCTGGCAACGATATTTAAGCTATATTTATGTAGGGAAAAAGATTGACTTTTTATTGTTATTATTAGAGTGAGTCATGGAAATGCATGAGGTATTGCTTTTACAAAGGCACATTTAGAAAGAGAGAAAAAAAAAGGAAAATAGTGATGAAAATGAAAGATATGATAAATTAAATACATAAAAGTAATACAAAGGCGGAACTGAACAATAAAAATGATATGAAGACGAAGGAAATTAAAGAAAAATATCAGAGATATAAAATGATAAAAACTATTAATGATGGTCACACTGCAATAAATACTAATTTTAAAATGAACAAGAAAATGCAGTGTACGAAGAGCAAGGAAAATGAATGAGAATAGAAAAAGTAAGTAAATAAGTATAAAGTGTAG